TCCACCTCACCATCGCACTTCCATCAATGTTTATGCCGCTGACAACAAAAGAAATTAAATTGCCAACACTGAAATTCAATTGTATCTTCCTCCGTGGGCCTCACTCAAAATTCCTCAAAGCCATGAAAGGTTGTCGGGGAAAGCGGAAAAGTGCGGGGAATGACGACATCTTGAATGGTTATTGCCGCTGACTTATTGGAACATTGATTTTCCCTTTTGTTGGGGGCCTCAATTGTAGGAAGTAAACATTTTCGACGCTTTCAATTTATTAAAAGGCGCGTGAGGCAGCCATAAAAAGGTCAATGATTATTATGCCGCCCATGCAAAATGGCAGACAGTGACCAAAAATAGTCAGCGCCCGGGAAAACAAGTTCAAATTACAGAGGGACAAACAAAAGATCAAAAGGGGTTTTTAATATACAATTTCCTTAGCCCCCAATTAATTCTGCACTTAACTCAAAGATCATATAAAACATATATATCCATTAATAAACTTTGTTTTTTTCAAATTGTTGTAACATTTTTTTCCAGTGCTCCAATTTGTTTGGATTCGTTTTTAAGAAGGTTCTGAAGCAAGGGAGTCTTCGGGCTGATGGAATCCTTGTGGGGCTTCATAAAGATGAAAAGGAAGCTCGGCTAAATAGACTGGTCCTGCTCGATAGTTCGGCAGCGGCAGCATTAATATGAAAATTTAATTCAGAGTCAGGCATTGTGCCATGGCTCTTCCTGGCCATAAATCAACATTTAACACAACCTGAACATCCGCCGCTGTTTGCGCAACATTTTTCAATTTTTTAACCATTTCCATTTCCAGTTTTTCCAGCCCGTTTGCCAGTTTCCATTAAAGCCTACTTTGCCGAGCTTTAACTGCAATTAAAACCATTAAAAGTGTGCATAATTAAAAAAATGTTGCCCTCCTTATGACACATTAACATATTTGCATACGGCCATTATTGCCATAACTCCCGCTTTTCCGCTTTGATCCCTGATGGTTAATTTATTTATTGAAACAAACAACAAAAGGCGTAGGCTTAATCGTCATGACATATACATGTAAGTTTGTGTGAGTGACGAACAAGTCTGTGGTGTGTATTGTGGACCCAAAATGTGGACTGATGGGCGGAACATGTCGCACATTTGCATTCCGCCCGCGAGTGTCCCATTGTCCAACCGTCCATTTGTCCAACTGTCCTCTAATTCGGATTCAAATTCAGATTCGGTTTCGGTTTCGCATACAAGTTGAACTCCAGCTGCAGTTGCAGTTGCAGTTGCATTCGATTACGTTCAGCGTATAATTGTACAACGCTAATCAAAGCGAAATCGCTCTCGGACCGCCGGGCGAATCGATTAATGTGCCAAGGATGTGCCTATCCAGATACAAATGTATCTGCGGGGTAGCATCCTGCATTACAAGCTATGTCCATTACTATTACAGCAACCAAAATTATCGGCAAGTGCATTGGCTATTTGGTATATTCTCAGTATTGGCAAAAAGCTTCCTCTATTCCGTGCAAATTAAACAGCATTAGAAGCGCCTTTAATTGGCACCAAGGTAACGCATAAATTTCAATTGGGAAGCCTTCGGGTGTGACAAAGATACAGAAGAACTGCCACAGAGACTGAATACATTCCGCAGCAACCGGAAATTGTCAGCGTTCTATGGGTCGAGGTGTTGGAAAAAATAGAGGGGGTGCGCTGAAATCAAATTCTATGCAAATTTAGAAATATTTATAAAAAATCAAGAATGACAAGTTTTGGGTATAATAGTAGCATGGATTCTTAAATGAAAAATATAACTAGCATAACACTCTTCTCACTTTTGGTAAAGAGTAAGATACAATTTAGTTTATTGAAGGTTTGTTATATTCTTCATGATTTCTTATTTCTCCCAGTGTAACCCTTCCCCAGCTGGTATGTGTGAGAGAATTATTATCTTGTACTTGCCCATGTCAAAGAAAATTTGCATTTTTCGGTCTGACAAAGGGCGGTGCTATGGAGGACAACTATGGCAGGGAGGATGACGATGATGAGGAGGTGGTAGTGGCTGCCGTGTAGACAGGACTCTCTGTGGTGCGATGTCAACGTGTGCTAGCAGTTCCAATACCTATTCCAAATTGTCTGCCACAATGGACTGACAAGGTGCTAGATTGCATGTGTGGGTCTGTTTTAAATAGAGCAACAATGTGCAATGACAATGAGATGAGAGCTGCCAGCAAATGTGACACAGATACGAGCTGAAACTTTCAAATGAAACACACAAAAACCATTGAGGGCTTATGAGTGGAGTGTTTGCGGCCTTCGCCAAGGACCCCATGGCATGCGATCTCTTTCTCTCTCTCTCTGCCTTTTTAATTAAAACACTTTCCTTTGAACTCGAAAGGTGGCCATGTTTGTTGACAAATACTTTCAATACCAAAAATTTAGCCACAAACAATGCAGTTTTCTGATTGGATAAATTGATCAATGTTAAGTTCTCTATAATAGCACTCAGTCATTGTCTTATACTGTTAATTTACATATTGAACATCCCAGTAGTGGGTTTGCTTTTAATTGATTGATTTGAATGGCTTTTGGGTGTTCTCGGGGATCAAGTAAGTTATCATTCATAGCTTTTAAGCTATTTAAATAGTTTGACTTGCTCGATTTATATTAACCATAGATATATAAAATTGAATAACAGCACAAAATATTTTATAATTTAACGTTTTTGTAATCTCAAGTTGCACCTTTACCTGGCAATTAGTTAGATTAATGTCTAATGCCCTGACGCAGTGGGCCACTTAAGAGTGTTGAAGTACCTGGCCTTGAATATATCGTAAAAGTGGAGTACTCCAACCGTTTATAGTCCTCGCTGGAGGACAACATAACAATATAATACACACCCATATGTTGACTCCCTTTGCCACCCCCCAATATCCTGGCCATCTGCCAATCCGCGCATTTAATTGTGCGGTTTCTCAGCCATTTTTATGTGTTTTAATTTTCATTGGAGCACTAAAAACTTGTCAGCGTCGTCAATGTCAGGGTGTTCCCATTCCCATTCTGCAGTTTCAGGGGGAGAATGTGGAAGCGAGGGGAGCTGCCGACAACAACACGATCTTGAGGAGGCCAATAAACACTTTTATAAAATTCTCAAATCGCACGTGTTGCGTTTGTCAAGGGGTTGAGTTGCCGTGAATGTGGCAGTGGAAGTCGCCCCGACATCGAGACATACAATACAATAAAACTGCTAAGTGCATGGGCATGTTGTTGTGGCATATAGCTCCATATAGCTCTATTTGGCCCCTACTCTACCCTACCCTACTCCACTTTATATATGTATGCATTAATCGAGGTGTGCTGCATGTCGGCCATAAAACCCAAGTGGGGTGCACTCAAAAAATAATAGGGATTACCTGGGAGGAAACGCGGCCTTAACTTGGGGGGAACTGTTATAAACTTTATTTCTTTAAAGTATATTAACATTTATATCAGAAAACTTTAAGAAATTAAAGGAGTCTTAGGAGAGAACAAAATGGTTTTTTCAGGAAACATTCAAAAATCTTCTTTTAACAATTTTCCTTGTAAATTATAATTATTATTGATGCTTTTTCCCAGGATATTGAACGGCATTTCTTCAAGTGCACAATAGAAGTGGAAATGGGAATGGAGGCAGCATCGATAAGCTGCCAGAAAACAGTGCAGCGCGTGTGCCACATAAAAATGGCATTTTGACATGGCCACCGGGCGGATGAAAAGGGGGGTTTAAGGGGTGATGGCTAATGAGCATTATGAATGCTTGCCATGATGTCATTGCACTTGAGTGGATCTAGTTGTGTTTTTCCTTTATGCAGGGGCAACCTTCACCCCCAACCACTCGTTGCCAACTCCCCTCTCCACCCCCACCTCTTCAGAACCACAAAGTCTTACAAAACATCCAGCAGTGAATGCCAGGAAATTTGTTGCAATGGGGGTGGCAAAAAGTAATTGCAACTTAAATAAACAAAACGCCGGAGCGGCGACCGCAGGGCGGAGAGAGCAAACAGAGTAACAGTAACGGGTTAAGTGGCCGCATCCTCTAGTCGCCCTGAAAGGGTTAAGCTTACATATGTATCATTGTGCATGTGGCATGTAGCATGGGCCTGAAGAGCCTGCCACTTGTGCACAGCCTCATTAGCAGGAACAAAAATCCAACTCACAAAGAACTCACTTTGTTCTCGTTACATTAAACTCCACTTTTTGATTTGTTTGCATTTCGGCTTCTGTTTCACATGATTTGTTGTTATTGTTTATGATTTTTAAATAAGCTTTGGAAAATGCACTGGGAAAATAAAGGTATTTTTTTCTTATAAATAATGTTTCTTTGGATTAAATTTCAGTAAGTGTAGATATAAGGCTGCTTATAAACAAATTCTAAATCAATTTTTCTAAAACAGTGTTAACTCTTTGATATAGTTTTTAAATTCTATATTAATATCTTAATAAATTATTAAAAATATTGAGTAAACACACTGAAAGAAGATTATCGAACATTGAAAATATTTTATATTTTTAATGACTTTATAAGCAGCATTAAGAAACATTCAAAAGCCAACTTCATGGATAATGAAAAACAAAATTATTCTGGAAATGTTTCTGTTTGTCTATACCGCTGCTGGCAACATGTTGCCGCGTTTCCAGCAACATGCTGCCGCCGGCCTTCCAGCGTGCTAATTTTGGAAATGTTAGCGCTGCGCTACGTCACAGCACAGCACGTTCCCATGTCTTCATGTATTTTTGGGGTGTGTTCTTGAGGAACCATCCTGATAACTCCTCAGTCGTCTGTCAACTTGTCGTAGGCGCGGATTGTCGCTCTCGGGGAAATTTTTAGATTCAGCCATAGCTCGCATTACGCTTCGGTTTCTTGTGTTTTGTTTACATGCCAAATACTTGCGGTTGGGGGAACGACGACGGCTGCTGCTCTATTTAATTACAGAAGAATAATTAAAGTTTGTTTGTTATTATTCATTCCGCTTTTGCAGAGAGCACTTCCGGGTAACAAAAAACAGCTGGACACAGGGCCCATTTATGAGTGCGCGAAGTGAAGTACTCGGCAGATACCAAATGGATGCCATCTAAAATCAAAGGAAAACAAGAAATCAAAAAAATCAGAGGAAAATATCGGAAAAAGAACATCGGGACGTGCAACAATTAACGGGCGGAAACCGAAATGTATAAACAATCAGCAAAATGTGCAAATTCGTGGAGTGCCAATCGAAAGGCAGCTTGAGTGAAAGTGAAAAACTGCGGCGCGGCCAAATTATTAATTATCCGGCTGCTTATTAGCGCAATTTTCCCAAGGCTCTGGCGCAGACATTTTGTTTATGAGCCAATTTGCCAAACGCAAATAAAACCGAAACGCTGCCACTCGTGCATTAATAATTTTCCATATTCCGTCCCATTTCCCATCTCCATCCCCCTCGAAAGCAACCTACCCCTTCTCGTATAAACACACCGAAACAGACAGTACGGCGTGTGGCGTTGAAGTGTTTATTAAATTGTCTTTGCCGCAAATGCAAGACATTTGCCCGACAAGCGGAGTTATAGTACTTTTCCCTTCGAAATGCTGGAGCTGCAACTTTGCGGAGACTTTTCAGCCGGCGACTTGAGCGAAATTCCTAAAATGGGACACCAGCAAAGAGACACCACGGATGCGGGACATCGACAGAGCCGGAGAAAATCTAGTTTGCCGGACTTTACCAACCACATTCTTCCTGCTGCTCCTCGCCGTTCTACTTCTGAGCATGGGTGAGTCCACAATTTGTTTGGTCTAATTATAATGCCAATGATAATATTTACCAATCGGGAAACATCAAAGTTGCGAGTTTGAAAAGCCATCAAATGAGTACAGTTTTAGCGTGCGAAAATGTTTACAAAAGATGTCAGGAGGAATATTTTAAACTTTAATTGAATGAAATTAAAAAGCGCACTTTTTAAATTCAACATAAAGGTATCTCCTTCACTCTACTTAAATCGACTCCCTTATATTCTTTAGTTGGTTTCAATAAATCATAGAGCATCTCGGCAGAGTCTTAACTATTTTCCCAAACGACAAATTCGAGACCATTGAAACGCACTTTAGGAGTTTCATTTGTTCAATTTAATGAAGTATTTGTCAGGCTTCCACAGTCAGCCCCCCTTCTCCACCCTCAGGCTGTCATCCCTTTTCAAGTGCTATCTGGGCATTGGGAAGGAGGATTGGACCACTGTCAACCACATTCGAACCCCTAACTCAATTGACTGCCTCACTTATTTTTTGCCAAGTCCGCCGCTGCGGCTGCTCAATTAAGTGCCTCGAATGTGACTCTAACTCCAAGTATATCCAATCGGACCACAAAAAGTTTGAAATTAAAAGAGTACGAAAAACACATACTTAAGTTGGGATGCACAGAGAAAACAAAGTAATGATAAAATGGTTATATAATTAAAGGTATAATCGTTTATTGATAGATTCATGTTTGAGTTTGTCGTTCTATCAATTTAGTGTTATATTTCAATTTTAATATAAACATGCAAGCCACCTTCTCGCTTTCAGCCTTGAGATCTCAAATTCGTGAACTATTATTTCTAGAGTCTAGACACACATTTCTCGGCCAAGTGTTTGTTTTCTCAGTGCAGAGACAAACAATCGATACTTGAAATGACATTCGAAACAACACTTTGGCATAATAAAATACAAATAAAAGGGACAACGATACACAGCCGCCAATTGATTGACGAAGTGGCAAAGATCTGGCGAGTGGGAAGTGGAGAGTGCTGGGCAATAAAAAGGATTGACAGCCAGCTCTAAGCGGTGGCGAGGTATCACACTCCCAGCTAGAAAGGGGTTCGATTTGGGAAGGAGGGCGGGCAAGCGAAAGGGGTGGGCTCCACGTGATCCACTCGACTGCCTGTCAATGACAATCAGCAGCGGAATCAGATCCCGCACACATACACACAAACACCCTCCACTTCGGAGAAGCGCTAATGCTGATGCTGAATGCTTGTAAAAAGTTTTTAATGACCCCCGGCTGCCGTGTTGTCATGGCCACAAAACTGAACACTATGGCGCCCGGAATCGAACCGAACTGAACCGATTCGAATCGAATCGAATCGAATAGAATTCAGAGCCCAGAATAGGGAAGGGACTAATGGCGAGTGGAGGGGCAATCCACACTTGCCAAAGCAAATCTGTGTCAGGCTGTTGCTCCATTACTCCGCTGCTAATGAACAGCTTAAGCAGCATTTCAATGGGGACATTCCCTCGATTGCAGTCAGTGCTGGCTTTTTAGGTATTTTTAAGGCCACTACTATTTATTTTATTGGGTCAAAAATTTGTACTAGAAACTAAAAACATACCATTAGGCTAGTTTCAGGACGTTTTATTTGTTTGTAAAAGAAGTTTGTTAGGGAGGGAAATAACATATAACACATGTTACATATCATAGATAAAAGTTTAGCACTTTATTATAATCTGGATTTGGAAATTTTTGAAGGTTTTTCAGATTTTATATAATTTATTTTTCTATTAATTTGGTTTCCTTTACCTACCACTTAAAGTTGTTGTCTAAAATTACTACACATCTCCGATTTGAGTGCATTTTTCGATGGAGCCATGGAAGGGGTGAGAATTTTATGGGAGTCGCAGAAGAAGAGGGTGTTGAAGCGCTTCGTGATCCGTGACTTTTTGGAGTGCGTTGTTGTAGGTCTTTTTCAGAGCCCAAAATCTAGTGCACTCCAGTTCACGGCATTGTGAAGATTGGCGGGGAAAGTGCATCAGCATCAGCATCCACATCAGCAGAATGAGAATTTTAGGCATCAGCTCTCTATTAAATGGAGGCCGCGGCGCTAATGGATGGGGTTAATGGGCTGGGGTCTGGCGGCAAATGGGTGTATTAGTAAAAGTGAATTAGAGCCAGAAGCCGGGCATCTATTGTTCTGCTGTACAACAGACGGCAGGGACATAACCCACCAATCCCCCAAAAAAGAAGTGCGTCCATAAATCAGTGCATTGAAAGCTGTTTGGATTAGTAATAAATTTGATTTGATTTTCCACGGGGTTCATAGGATTGGGATTGGGGATATTGGGAGTTTTTCATGGTCCACCGGCTGTGTAAACTCGTTTCCATCAATTTATGCTCTAACGAAAGTGCATAATAATCAGGGACATATAAATACCATAAATCCGATGAGCACACTAATGGCAAACCAACGCTGGACACTCGTAATCAATTTCGCCATTTGTTCACTAATAACAAAATGCCATGCAGCTGTAATTTCAGCACTCACTCAATTGCATCAAATAAAAAGACAACAAATCGATTTTCTGGCTATCAAAATGCAAATTTAGTGCAGACTATAAAATACTTAAAAAGTCATGGTTTATGTTTGAGTTTCAATAAATTATTAATCAAACGTAAATCTTACAACATAAATTAAAAGAAAGTATTTCCATTTTCTGGCTTTTATTCAAAAAGTATTTAATAATTGATCGCCAATTTTCTTCATTTATATTCTTATCTAAAGAGTATTTGTAAAGTTAAGACTGATTTGTAAAGTTAGTAAAAACCCTCTCCGAGCCCAGCGGTTTTATCATTGAAATATTAATTGCAAAATAATATTGACAGGCGGCAAACAAATTACAAATAAAATATGAAAATTTCCTGTGGTTCTGTTTTTGGGAAAATGCCAGTGGCATATGAGTGGGCGTGGCTGGGCCAGAATTTTCGGCCACCAAACAAATTATGCCAGTCACGCAAAAATTGCCAAAAGGTAAATCGAATGGCGGTGCTTTCGCAAAGCAGGCTTAGACCCGCGTCCGTATTTGTTTATTATTAATGCAATTTGTAATTATTTGTTTCGGTGGCGTGACTCCCAGCATGCGAACACACTATGCATATAGATATATTATATATATGATTATAGTTATATCCCCATTCCCATCCCGATTTCGTCTGTTTGGCATTTTGGTTATTTGTTTGCTTGCCACAGCCATAAAACGCAATTATCGCGCACAAAGAACAAAAGCAGAGTGCAGGAAAAGTGCACCTCTTACTATATACATAGAGATATATATATGCCCCCGATCCGCGACCCTAAAATATATAGTCAAAACACAACGGAAAAAATGAGTGTCGGAGGGAGTTTTGGAAAAGCTGCAAAAGTTGTCGCCAGCATCAGAGAATTTCGCATTTTCGCATTTGCGTTGCCATAATTAACTTATTTTGTACATTAGCAACAGATTTTGTTTATTAACGCATGTGCGCTTGCTTTCGGTAATGCGATACCATTCACGAACCCCCCAGGCTTTAATGTGTTAAGGACCGGGGGCCACGGGACCATGGGGCGTATACTTATCTTTTGGCATTGCGAAGTGAGTTTATTTGTTTTCTGCTTGTGGTTCTTTGGTTTGGAGGGTCGGTGGGTTGTTGGGTTGGTGGGTTGGTGGGTTGGCCTGGCATTTTGTGCGGCTGCTGTCGCATAATTTATTTATCATTAGCAAAATTTGGCAAGCATTGGAATGCTTTTCTCTCTCCTCCCAACTTTCCCCGCAAGACTTGGCTCTTGTGTCTGTGTATTTGGCTAAATAGTTGAAATAATTAGGCTCATTAGAAGTTTTGTAGGTCTCTGGCTACGGAGTGTTGCTTTGATTGACAAGTGCAAATTGGTATTAATGCAGAAGTTCGGGAAATTTCACAAGCCACAAGCAAAAGGGAGTGCCTTGAAGAAGGCTTAGGGCGGTTGTTATGAACTAAATTCGAGAATTCCAGAAACACAGCAAGCTGAGATAGAAAGATTTGAGAACTTCCAAGGAAAAGCCAAATGAGTGTTGCTCGAATAATTATGTATAAGGGTTTCCATTTATAATTTCCTTTTATAATTCTGAAATTAAATCAGTTTCTAATATCCTTAAAATCCTTTAATTAAAAAATTCACACAAGTGCTTACTTATTTAAAACCATTTTCCTAGAATTTTTGTTTCGATTTTTATGCCAGCTCAGGCAAAAGTATTTTCGGAAAATGAAATTTGCCGATATTTAAACTCCATCTGGCAATAGTTCACGTTTAATTAAGCAACGTTGCCAAAAAATATCTGGAACAAATCACAACGACAAAATCGCAACTGGCGCACCCAAAAATACCACAGTTTTGTTTCAGTTTGTTTGGTTTATTCTATTTTCATTTTGTTTTTCGTAGGTATTTCTGGCAGTGCCACTCCCCCGGAATAACAAAAACTTGTTGTTTCGCAGGGTCCAAGTGGAAACTGTGTGTGCGAAATGCAACAGCCGCAACAAAAACGACATAAACTTTTAACAATTGCAAAACCAAATAAACAAAACGTAGGGCGAAACAAAGGGAAAACACTAAAAACTGCTGCAGGCAATAAATCTGCAATGGGTGGTGCAGATGGGTGGTTCTGCTTCTTGTGGGTTGGTTAGTGGGTGGCTTCAATGGGTGTTTTCTGGCCCAAATATGCCGTCGGGTCCTTTGCACAGAGCCATTCACACATACATATACATATACAAAGCAAACACTCACACATTACGGAGAATGCGCCTGCTGCGTAAATAACTAATAAGGCTCGGGGATAAATTTCAAGTGCAATTTTGTGAGCATCGTAACCAAATACAACTCGAAACAAAACAAAAACCCACGGCCGCCGGCTGGCGGGAAAACTCGCACACAAAAGTTAAGCGTACTGGTTTCGATGCACTGAAAGAAAATCTAACAAAAGCTTAGCTAGACAAAAATCCCATAAGAAAACATCT